TTCATTTAATAATTACAACGTTCTATTTAATACAGATTTAATTATAGAATTTAATAAGAAAATATTAGCGGTAGCACGATGAAAACGTGCTATATTGGTAACTAAAAATCTGCTTTAGATCTGTCGGAAATGATATTTTAGTAGTTCCTCTGACGAATCACTCTGATGAACTTTTGATCAGTTATTGGTCAAGTTACAACAAAATTCTTTCCAGCAATTCTGCATTGTTCGAATGAAGGACGGAAAAGAGGAGATCGGGCGATACCACAGTGGGTCTAGGTGGCCTATGTGTACCGTACGGGGGTCCGTGTTAACAAGGCGAAATAATGAAAAATATTTTCTGTTGTAAAAATTCAAACTAATTATTAATTTTTGTTGTAGTCATTGAGCTTGAGAGTAGTCAAAACTTTCAGATTTTTTTCACTATTTAAAATAAAACAACAATTTTATATTTCTTTTGTAATAATATATTTATAATTTCTTTATTATATTTTTTTTTAGCATTAACTATAATAATATTTCATTTTTTCTTTGTTATTTTAGCAATATAGCAATTTATATACTAAATTAATTATATTCGGTATCTATTTTTAGAATTCAAAAATAAAGTAATCAGAAATTTTCAAAAGAGCATTTTACTATGTAATTAAATAAAAACCTATTTATTTATTAATTCAGTTTTATATTTACATTGAAATTTAAAATTTTTTATTTTCCAAATTAGTGAAATTAATTTTTTATTGGAGTAATTTCAAAATTAAATACCGTGAACACAATATTGAGCCGTATTATTTTATTTGTCTGTTAGTGGTAGGGAAAATTTTATTTACTAAAAAACACTGCAGTTTTATTATTGTTTTGCTTATTATAGTCGACGAAATAAGTTATATTTGATTTCTGGCGTTATTATTGATAGTAGTAAAATAATAATTTGTATTTTAAAAGTGCTATTAAATTTGATTTTTAAAACAAATTGAATTTTGAGTTAAGCTTAATTAAATTGCGAACGTATTTTAAATTGAAATATAGAAGCTGAATTCAGATTTATCTGGGGTACAATAAAAGTTAATAAAATTATGTAGGGTAAAAAGTTTATATTCTATATTATATAAAATAAATCCTGAATTTATAAAAATCCGAATGTAAATCAGATTTTTAAGTTCTCTTTCTTAATTTAAGGACATTATCAAATTAAAAATAAAAATAATATGTTTCCCAAAATTAATATTATTTGTCTTTCCAAGGCTCACGTTAAAACGGATGGGAGAATAGAGGTTTAGAATACAATTTAGTAGATTTTATTTAAAATTATTAAATTAAAAATACATTAACAACGAAACTTATATTACAGAGCAATAATAATGTGTTTAAATTTACTTAAATGCTCATTTATGTATACATAGATATTTATTGAATTTCCACGTTATGCAGTGCTTCAGACAATATTCTTTATTATGTAAGTCATAATCAATTCCATAATCATATTATAAAATAATTACTTATACAAAAATTAAATATTCATATAAGGCAATTTTGAACATGCCCTCTATAAGGTACCACTGGTACTTATAAAAAAAAAAACAAAATGTTACATAATTATGAAGAATTCTTGAGTGCATACTCCAGCTAACTCCATTTTAACAAAAACATGACAAAAATGTTTAATGTTATAATGTTTGTTTTTCCAAAACTCCATTTGCTTTATCTACAATTAAAAATTACCATTATTACTGTTTTCAAGTGCGATTTAAATTTTTATTGAAATCTTCAATTTTATTGAATTGATTGACCCTACTTTGATTGAAATTTACTGTAACCATTGAGCCCGTGAGGAAATCAAATTTAAATTGCATTATATCGAAACAATTAACATTACAAATTGAATTTAATTAAAATTACTTTCCAGTGGGCTAAAAAAAATCCAAACTTAATGCTGTTAATCTTAATTGCTTAAGAAAATTATTGTACTTTTTTTTATTATAAAAAATTTTCCTAGACAATGAAAAAATTAACAGCACATTTTCTGACTGATTGTGTTTTAAGATTTTTAAGAAAAAATGGAGTTGTTCGAATTGTATACAACAAGCCACTCATAATATGCATAATTTGTAACTCTAGGCTTTATGATTATTACTAGTATAATTAATGTTCTTTTGAAAATTTCACTTTATCAAATTTATTTATTTTCATTTTTTTTATTATACTTTAATAATTTACATTCTTTATTATTTTATTTTTGTCCTTTTCTGTTTTTTTTTTTTATTTTTTAATTCCTAGTTATTACATGTACAAATAAATAAAATATAATAATTTATTTTCATATTATACCTATATAGAATACAGATACACATTCGTATATATAAATACATAATAACATAATATTATATTTTATTAGATTATCGAATATACGGGAAATTACAAATGTCATGCTCGTTATGTTAATGGAGTCTATGTGTAAAAAAAACACGAATCATAGATTCTTACCAGACAAAACTGAACATTCGTATAGATTTTTCAAATTAATACACTTTATGCCTTATTTAAAAAGGCATCATAAGAGACAAATGACTTGTATAAAAATGCCATCAAACTAGCGTTATTTTGAATTTGACTTAATTCTTTTTTTATAAGTGTGCCATCCAAATTGAATGATCCTATGCATTTTTAACATAATTTCATTGTCGGATAATTTTATTCGTTCATCATTATGTTCCAAATATATAAATTACAATATTTTTCGTAGAGAACTACTTTAGCTCTGAAACTACGCTGTATTCTCGAAAACCTGTGAAATTGTTCTCAAGTCAAAAATCAAAAAAATGACGTATGGATCAAAATTGCATTCAGGCAACAATATTTCCAAAAAAATAGATTTTGGCTCAATTTTTATTGATTATGGAAGGCCAATAATGGTCAAGAATTTAGTTTATTGTCAATCATGAATATAAAAATAAATTTATCCCGAAAAACTTTTAGGAAAAGTCTAGAAAGGTACTCTCAAGTTTTGCAAGCCCTTTTTTCTAATAACTCTATTTATTTCGTATATTTGATTGTATATAATAAGTCTTGTATATGTATACATACTAATATGCATACCTATATGTTATATACATAAATATATGTATAAATATATGTAGTTTTATAATTTTTTATGTGTACAATATAAATAAGGTAAAGTAATAAAAATTATAGTACTTCATTGTTATTTTTGTTTTAATTTTTTTTTTTTTCATTTTATATTTTTAATTTTGCTTTATTTTTTTGTTTTGCTTTTTTTTTTATTTTTTATATAATCATAATTTTATATTTTATTATTATTTTTGTAATTTTAATTATATGTACAGATTTTTTACAGAATTAACTTGAAAAATGTTAATGAGAAACAAAAAACAAAAAAAAAAACATTATTGTAAAAAATATTTTTATTAAGAGTTTTAGGGTTTTAATTTTTTTACTCTTTTTCTTTTTTCTCTCTTTCTCTCTCTCTCTGTGTTTCTCTCTCTGTTTCTGTCTCTGTCATTATTTATCATTAATAATTCATAATTTCATGTAATTAAATTTCAACTTCTCAATTATTAATGGTGTTTTTCTTTAATGTTTGTGTACGTGTGTGTGTATTTTTTATATTTTATAATATTTTACATTTTTATATAAATATATGATTTTTTTTTATTTATTTATTTATTTATTGTATGTAATGATTTCAATTTTGTTTCATAATATTTTTGTTCTTTATTTCTTTTCCATTTTTCCTCTTTTTTTTGAAATTTTAATTTAAACTAATTGCTTGCAGTTTTATTCGAGTTTTAATGTTGGCTTGATCTTTTTTTTTTGTTTTTTAAATTTTTGCATTTTATTAATTTTTTTTTTGTATTAAATTTCTCTTTATTATTTTTTGTTAATTGCCAGAATATTTTATTTCTCTCTTGATTTTTTCTATAATGAAAAATTATATTTTTAATAAAAGAAATATCATTGCTATTTTCATATGTTAATAATAAATGTTGTTCATTTTAAATATTTAATTTATTGAAATAAAATTTTTCATATTATTATCGGCAGTTTCATCTTTTATTTTTAATTATTCTTTTTTTTTTGTTCCGTTTATTATTAAATATTATTAATTTTAAAATACTTACTGAATTTATAGAATAATTTGAAAAAATAAAAATTATAACAGTTTGAAAAATCATAACAGGCAAACAGAAAAAAAAATCTGTTAACCCGTTGATGAAAAGAAGAATGTAGGTTAACTGCTCGTTACGTTACTTAAAATTTTAATTGAGATATTTAAAAAAAAATTATAATTATAAATAAATATTATTATATAAGAAATTCCGACCAATTAATTTTTGTTTTTAAAATGTAATTCAAAATTTCATAAAGGATTTCCTGTCACTTTAATTATTTTATTGAAAACGGAATTATAGTGAATAAAATTTTTATAAAAGATTTTTAAATTGAATTTCAAATCGAATGTAATGGTTTTTGTTTGTGGGCGTTATTGAGGCCGTGAGCATTTTACCCAACAAAAAAAATGTATTTAAGTTCTATTAACATGTTATTGCTGTTGTAAGTGCATTTACAGTAAGTAGCTTTATTGGCTTAATAATAAAGCTTTTGGGTTAATTACTTTGATTCAATTATATAAATTAAAAAATTAAGAGATTTATTTGGACAATTAATAATAGCATATTTTGAATAAATTTCAAGATTTCATTCCAATATTTGTAACAAAATTTTACATCCTTTATTTATATAATTTTGTGATTTTATCGACAAGGAAAATATTTCGAAAACTGTAAGAATATTGCAAATAAATTTTCTATTTTTGTATAATAGACGAATAAATCCCATTTTGTAAAATCGGATATTTTATTTATTCAGTCAGAAGAGTTGACAAGTTGTTCAAATAGCAATTTCTTTTCATTAAGATATTTTTTTGCTTTAGCACTGTAAAATTGTTGGTTATTTGAAATTTATAAATATTTTTTCTAAATTATTAAGGGAGTAAACAAAAATAATTTAGAAAAAAAAAATTTGAGAAATAAAATATTTTGTGTTATTTTTTGTAAAGAGAAATTTCGTTCTTTCGAAAATACAATCATAATATAAAATTTACACCAAATTTACCTAAATTTTTATTATCTTTTTTTTTTATTCTACACTTCTATTATACCTAATTTAGCAAGATTTCCTAATGTTGTTGGATCACCAGGTTGCAGTCTTAAAGCTTCTTTGTAACTGGCAGCTGCTTTATGTGTACGGCCTAATAAATGTAAAATTGCACCTAAATTTGTATGGGCTCGAGCATCATCTGGTCTCAAATTAACAGCCTGTTGAATAAAATAAAAGAGTAAATTTTGAAGTTTAAACTATACTTTTAAAATTATTTATTTTATCTTCAGTACTCGTATTCAATGATATAATTAAATGGAAATTGTTCTAATTTATAAAGTGATTTCAGTTAAAAAATAAGTGTAGGAATTTTTAAAAATATTTTATTATTTGTAAATGCTAACTCAATTTTACTTGAAAACATTATTTTAAAGCTTAATTTCTCTTACCTTCCTATACCATTTTTCTGCTTCAATTTTATTATCTAATAACCTATAAGTTGTTGCTACAGCTACTGTAAGTGCATAATCATTGGGTGTCAATTGAACTGCTTGTAACCTATACGATATAGCTTCTTCGTATCTAGATGTTGAAACTAGGAAATCAGCTATAAATGAAATAAGCAAGTCGAATTAATTTTTTTTAAATTTCAAACATATTTTTTATTTAAAATCTTACCGAAATGATGGTATACACTTGATTGTTGAGGTGCCAATTTAAGAGCACGTTTAAACCACAATTCTGCTTCGGAAATCTTACTACTCTATAAAATTATAATATTTTTTTAAAATGTACTGATACAATGAACATTTTAAATTTACATTTTTTGCTAAAGTTATTCCATATGATAAATGTGCAGCAACATTATCTGGTTGAATATCGAGTGCTGCACGATGATGTTTTTCAGCTTCATTCCATTGTTGTAATCTTCCAAATATATCACCCATACGTTGTAATAATACTTGATGTTGAAAATTATATGGGAATGAATGTAAAGCTTCACGATAAACAGCTAATGCACGTTGTAATTTTCCTTGTTCAGCATAGAGGCTACCCAATTGCAAATATGATGACATTCGTGCACTTTCATGCTGAATTCGATCACGAACACCTGTTCCATCAACTTTTGTGCCATCTTTTAGAATTGATGCTGCTTCTCGGCATCTACCCAATGCTATTAGTGATGCACCAAGATTCAAATAGGCAACTACAATGATTTTGTCATTTTAATAAAATTTTATAAGTAAAATTAAATGGAAAAAAGGGGGAAGAAATTGTAACTTACTTGCTAAATTTGGGCGAAATTGTATCGCTCTCTGGAAGTTTTCTATAGCTTTTTTATAATTCTGTTGATTTTGATTTAAAATTCCTCTGCAAAAACAAAAAAAAATAGAGAGTGTTTAATGTCGAAGAGAAAAATATTTGATTTGAAAGAACTTTAGGTTCTATTCGAAAATTTTATATTAAACAAAAATTCTAATTAAAATAGATTAAGAATCTTTGGGAATTTTTAAACCTGAACCTCGTTCCAACTTAAAATTATTTTAAGTTTCAGCTAAGGGAAATTTAAAAACCATTCTGAGTTGCACGTTAAAAATTCTGAGGAAGTTAGTCAAGTATTATGAGGTATACATTTAAATATAGTCGGACACGAATATAAGCAACATGCTTAAATTGAATTCTTCTAATGATAAAAATGAAAATTTCTTTAAAGTTTAAACATTGCACAGAATGTATTGAATTAAAGTAAAATGTAAAATATTGAAAGAGATTGTGAGAAGATTAAAAATGTGATTTGTCAGTCCATTAAAATTTGTCTATTTGGGTTATCATCGAAAATATTAATTATGATAAAGTGGAATTTTGCGAACTGACAAGCTGCTTGGCATCAGATTAACAGTTAATTTTGCAGATTTAACGACTTTTGATTTTGGGAAGTAGATAAGTTAATTTTGGTTTAATGAAAAACAAGTTTACATAATTTTTATTTCTGCAAATACTATTGATATTATGATTACATAAGTTGTTCGTGCACACACATTTCCGACAAGTGCAAATTGATTGCGTTTGAGCTCTTTCCATTATAAAAGGTTCGTAAAAAAACAAATATGATGAATATATCCGTGATTGACTGTACAAATTTATGTCGAAAAATATCATAGTTACATATATGTATACCTACATCTTGTACATAAACATTTCTAACTGTTTTAAAAACTCTTCAATAATTTACCGTTTAAAAACATGCATAAAGTACACAAAACTGTTTTATTTATTTCTTTTTTGCGATAAAAATCGTCTTAATCATTCTTAAATATTTTTGGACTTAATGATATTTTAATTATAATATTTATAAATATAAACGAATAAACGAAATAATTTTGTTAATTTACAAAGTGCCTTGCACGCAAAAAGCTAACAATAAATTTAGGTACAATATTATATTAACATTTGGTGGACCTACAAAACAAATGAAATTGTGTCCAACCAATGGTTTATAATGCAGCACTTTTCCCATCAAAAAGTAAAAATACTGCCCTTAAAAACAATCCGTGTACTACATTGTCTTTTAAAATTACTTTCATTCACATGCGAAAAATCTTCAAAAATTGCATACAATTAGGATGAGACACAAAAATTGGAAGAGGCGTTAATATAATGGCTATACGGTAGAAATTACTATTCTTTTTTTAAATGGACAATTTATTAGGGTCTAAACAAGAAACAATTTATTAGTGTCTAAAACTTACTAAAATTTCACACTCGTACAATTTCTGGTCTAGAAGGAAAATTATATAAAAAATTTGGAGAATATTGGATTTTAAATAGCGGCAAATTTTAATTGCCATTTTGTTTTTTTAAAGTTCAAATATTTTTCCTCTTGCAAAATGTGAAAAATGCTTATAGTTTTACTGCTATAAATAGTTAGTTAGAGGGATTATTTAGAGGTAAACAACTTTTAGAGATAGGTAAAAATTTTTCTTTAATTAAGTTAAACTTAATAAAATTTAAGTTTCTAGTAAAAATCTATGTACATATAAAATTTTGAGATTTTTATCTTCAAGGTCAATGGACGGACGGACGGACAGAGTGAAACTAATAAGCACTTTATCTTAATTTTTTTTAGAAAAGTGCTAAAAAGATAAAAATTATGTTCTACTCCTTCCTTTGTTTATTTCTTCAGTAGTTTATTAGTTATTTTTTTTTATTCATAATTTGTTGAGTGTGTTGAACAACATAATGTTGGAATTTTTTTCTAATACGTTTTGTAATAAATAATTTTTTTTTGCCTCTAGTTTACTTTGACAAGCTTGTACAACTTACATATGTTCATTTTTTTATTATTTAATAATATTTTGTGTAAGTTTCTATTGCATATATGTACATATTATTTGTAAATAATAAATTCTTATACCTACATAATATGTGTTGAAAAATTCTTAACAAGTGACCCAAACTAAAAGTAGAACAAAAAACTTAAATAAATGATTTGAAATCGTCAATTTTAGTTTACCATTTAATGCACGTTTATGCCAAACCATATGGTTACTATTTTAACAGGAATAAAGCGACAACAATAATACAACTACATATAATATATGTACATATTTATATTATTTAATATTTATTTTCAGGATTGCTTTATCGTTATGAAATTTCCGTGCCATGTTTTGTTTTATATGTATGTGCAACATTACACGTATTTTATTGCTACGACCAAAATTTATTTATTAAAAGAAATGAAAATTAATTTTTTTCAAACAAGTTTTTTTTTTTAAATTTAAGCACATTTTGTATTTTTTAAATTTTAAGATTTTCATGTAGGTATGCGTATGTAATTTGAAGATTTTCATGTACATCCTGCATATGATGTCTACAATTTTGAAACAATTTTGATTTACGTTTCATATTAGTATGCTTTTTATAAAATCATTTTTAAGTGGAAGAGGTGCTTATTTAATTTTTAAGCAAGCAATATTTATTTTTATTAGGGAAGAATAGGAAGAACATGTGAAATTTTATCTACACCATTAAACGAGGAAAATCGATATCAATTGGCTTCAATAATGCAGAAAGATTTACATACCGTTGTCCCTATTGTACTTATTTATTACTTTTTTCATATTTGATCACTAATAAAAGTTAATTTTCAATGATTTTAATGAAAACTACAGCGTGCTCTTAATATTATTTGTAATTGTATGATTTAATATAACACTTTTTGATACAAGTATATACAAATGTAAAGTGTTATTTTATATTGTAACTTATGTCAGATGTAGCAACGGTTTGAAAAATGGTATGTAAACATTTTTATTTACCACATATTCTTGTTCATAAAATTATATGAAATTATTTGAATACAGAAAGAATTCTGAATGAATATAAAAATGTTAAAGCCACAATATTTTGAATTGAAATAGGCAAAAATCTCAGTAGAGCATGTAATTCGATTCTTCAAGAAAGAACTTCAAAATTCTACATTTTTTTTCACAAAAAGCCATGAATCCTTCTAAGTAAAAATTCTACCTTAAAACATTAACTAAAAGTTGTATAACATTTAGAAAATAAAAGTTATTTTCTTGTTCCTTATTTCTTTCTTAAAATTATTTTGTAAAAAGCCTTTTGTATATGAAAAGCTCTTTTTATCCTTAAAAAATTTTTCACTTATTACATTTTATATTCTTAAAATATTATATTTCCTTTTGCCTTATTTTCTCTGTTATCTATAGAGCAATTCATATCCTTCAAATAAACTTAAATTTTAAAAAAAATAAGAGTTTTAAAAAAAAAGAGAACAAGGAAAATAATTTATGTAATTTTCTTATTATTATTAAAATAAACTCAATACTTTCATTTTGTGATTTGATTTTCAACATATTCGTTATTTTACGATTTCTATATCACTTAGAAAAGAAAGTGTAACACAATGTTTTTAAATATTTTTTTTATTTTTTATTTTATTTTTTATTTTTATTTAATTTGCACCAAGCAAGATGCTACATAATTACAAAAATTTACATAGTTTACAATAATTGACAAAAATATACATTATACATACTTATAGACTAAGTTGAATTACACTAACAAAACATTAAATGAATTTATGACACAAATGTAATATGATACATTTAAAAAAAAAAATAATAAATAAAAAGAAAGAATTTTATTATGTTATCATTTATGCTGAGTAGGTATTTAATATTAATATGATTTAATAATTGTACAATTAGGTCATACGTATAATTATCATATGATATTGTACTAGGTCAGTAGTGAATTATGAATTTTTTTTTTGAAGGTGTATTTTGTAACTACTGGTGAAAAAAAATGACTAAAACGATTGAATACAGTACAACATCTATTTATTGGTTCATTTTTAGCATATTCAGTCCTATGCGTATATTCTTTTAAGAATTTAGTATGTCTGGTAGGTCTGACGTCGTTGTTGATAATAATTTTGTCTCTAATGAAGTCCACGTCTATTTTTCCTGTTAGGACATCATAGGTAAAACAAGAAGACAACAAAGACCGGCGTGACTCCAGACTTAACATATTCAGGGATTGAAGTCTAATTTTATATGAAGGAATATTTTGGAAGTCATTGGGGTTATATTGGCCTCTCAAAGCAAATAACAAAAATTGTTTTTGAACCGACTCAATTTTATTTCTGTGTACAGAAAATGCCGGATCCCAAATAATACTGCCATATTCAAGAACAGAACGAACAAGGGAGCAATAGAGGGATTTAGTTACTTCAGTATTGTTGAATTCTCTGGCTCTCCTCTTAATGAAACCTAGCATTTTGCTTGCTTTAGAAACAATAGAATCATAATGAAAATTGAAATTGAGTTTACTGTCCATAATAATACCTAGATCAGTAATATGGTCAACGCGTTCTAAAATGGAGTTTTGAAGTGAATATTCTTGAAAGAGGTTTGAACGCTTACGTGAAAAACTAATAACATAACATTTTTTAACGTTAAGTTCTAATTTATTAGTCTCGCACCAAGAATTTAGATGTTCTAACTTTAATTGGAGATAATTAGTGTCAGAAATATCCCTTACAATATGATACATTTTCAGATCATCAGCATAAATCAGATGCGGAACACCCGCCAAACACTGAGAGAGGTCAGAAATGAAGATATTGAAAAGAATAGGGCCTAAATGACTTCCTTGGGGAACTCCAGAGTAGACATGGATAGGTTTCGACTTAACACCCTGGAACCTGACAAATTGGGTCCTTTCAGTGAAGTAAGATTTTAACCATCCCAATAGTGGGTTCCTAAAACCAAATTGTCTTAGCTTATGCTCTAAGACAACGTGCGCATTTGGCGAACAAGCGCATTTGGCGAACAAATTGATTT